GCTGTATCAGATAATGACTAGTCACCACATAACGTCAGTTAAGTTTGAAAACATGATGTACAAAATACAAAACTGGCCTCATTTATTCGGCTTTTCCAACAAACAAGTCTTCGCGGTAATGTCGTTCTCTGTATTCGCGGTAATGTCGTTTTCTGTATTCGCGGTAATGTCGTTTTTTGTGTTCGCGGTAATGTCATTTTTTGTATTCGCGGTAATGTCGTTCGCGGTAATGTCGTTCGCGGTAACGTCGTTCGCGGTAATGTCGTTCGCGGTAATGTCGTTCGCGGTAATGTCGCTGTATCGATTTCGAGCTTTTGGTACTGACTTGTACCATTATCAAGAAACAAATAACAACAAAATAATTTACATTTCCCGACTATTCCAAAATGTGATTCGCTTGTTATTCGAATAACAAGCTAATTTCTATCTTTTTCTGTTCTTCCTATCTGTCAAAACAGCAAAAAGTCACATTTTGGGATATACAGAGAATGTAAATTGTTTTGTAGTCATTTGTTTCTTGATAATGGTACGAGTCAGTACCGAAAGCTCGACATCGACAAATAAAAATTATTAAATTTGCTTAAAATTCTTAATATGTATTTTGTTGCAGTCTTATACAAATTATTTTACTTTATTATTCCTGCCTCTATAATTCTAATTAGTTTTTGTAACCGAGATCTTTTTTCTTAAAAAAATTGTCAACCAGGATCGAAAGAATGGTAATCTTTTAAATTCACGTCCATTGATAATTATATGAACCTCTTGAAGAAATTATCCCGCGCAGAGGTACTCCTAAATTGCGCAGTACAGATTGATCGGACATCGGGGAGACAGGAGAAGATGTCGAATATATCTTCAAAATAATTCTTCGACTCTCAAGCTCAAGGATAAACTGAATCATTCGGTTTCTTTCTCGTTTAACAAGCTTTTAAGCGTTCGTTTGAACTGTTAACAATTCAAAACTTGATTCATTTTATCAACATAATCAATTTTATTAAGCATCACATTCTCAAAAAACAAGTGCCCCTCCAGATAAAAAAGCCACTTTGATGGACGATGACTTGGGCACTTTGAGTGCCCTCCGCCAGGCACTTTCAAGCATAAAAATGCATCCCATCAAGAAAAGTGCTCTATTGTTGGCTATTTTAAGCGCCCATTTATCGCCCGAGGAGCACTTGTTTTTTCACAGTGCACGACTACTGCATTTCTTTTATCAGCACGGCAGGTTACCATGTTTTTGTTACATTTCAATTTTCTAAATATTCGTCATTCATCTTTACTCACATTGCGTAACGATTTCATCTTTGATGTCTTTATCATTTGTTGAGACACATCGTGAATATGTCGTCCTATGATACGAAACATCGATTTGTAGCATACTTTTTCAAGTTTTAGCACATTGTACTCAACGTTCGTTTTTACTTCAACAAATTTAATAACTCTTTGCTCCACACAAAACACACACTCACTCCTATAACGAAGTCGTCCTAACATTTGCTAGTTGAAATAAAGATATATTTAACTTGCTACGCATGTCTACTTTCGGAATGTAGAGTTTTAATTTCCGTCCGAAAGATTCTTAGGTGTTTTCTAGAGAGTTTTTCAAAAATACTATGAACACATGGTTTTAGAGAACATCCTACAGTTTTGTACAACCGAATCAAGTTTTTTGACAAAATGCATTACCATATGGTGAAAATAAGTACTCTCTTTGAAATAAAATGTTGTGGTTTGGTTCGAGAGAGGAAAAAAACTGCGTCGAATGTTGCAGTAAATTTTTAAAATGGATTCAAGTTTTCTGAAAGCCTAATGGACAGTTTTTACGATTCTTAACTTTTGGCTGGTAGTTATTCTGCAAGCATCATTTAATATCATTCATGTTTCCTAAAATTTTTATCTAAATGGGATGCAAAATAAAGATATTTTTCGCTGTAGGGATTTCTCTTAAGGGCCACCCCCCCTCAGAAATTATCTCCTACACCGTGCATCCGATCTTGACGAAACTTTCCATAAATGTTCGGCACAATGAGTTACTGGAATGAAAAAACATTTTTTGTCTCCAAGTTTTACGGTTTAGGAGTTTTCCAGAGATCAAGGTCCAAAAAGGATCCTGAAGGGCGTCCCAAGATGTTTTAATATACTTCAAGCTGGAGAGTTCGGGTTTGTTTTATTTTAAACTAGACACCTAACTACATCGACTGACCGGCGCCGATTTTTCAATTAAGCCTTTATTGGTTTTCCAGGCAACCAACAACCTGCGAAACCCGAAAAAGCCTTCCGGATTTTCTAAAAATTCTCAGTTTGACAAAAAACTAACACCTAATTCAAAAATCGACGCCGGTCAGTCGATGTATTTTTTTTTCCTCTTTTAAACAAAAAAAGAACGAACTCTCTACGACAAACCGCTATTAAAAATCTTGGGGCGCACGTCAGGTGTAACTCTTATATAGCGAAAATGCTATGTTAAACGCTGTATGAAATAGTCGATTTTATGACTTCTAGGAAAATGTCTGTAACTTTTCGAT